ACAGTCTTAAATCTTAACACTGCATCGTCCTTCACAGATGTTACTAGAACTGGAATGGATGACATCTATCCTGGACACAAGCAAACCTCTGGACCGATGTCTTCCAGTATACCTGGAGTACCTGGAGAGGATTCCGGGGGTCAGCGCCCCCGTTGCCCGCTCCGTGACCAGGCCACGGAACACAATATGATTTTCAACGTAGTGAAATTTCGGTTAATCTGCTGCATGCAACAACAGAATGGTAAATAATGAACTAGATAATTAGAACCATGAAAACAAGAGATGCCAAGCCAATGATGATTCTGCTGAAGGTACTTGTACTCTCTTCACCGGAATATTTCTGTACATTTACGTCAATGGAAACTGATGATCTTGAGATTATATGGGAAACTACCAATGCTCGCTTTATTGAAGCACCTCAAAGTGTACTCCTGGTGAGCACAAGGAGAGATAGCATAGACTTCGATACCAGGAAAACACTAGAGAGGCTGATTCTTAGTATCTGCACCAAGATAACATCTCATGGCTTTAAGAAAAACACAAAGAAGACTCGATAAACATGAAGAGTCGGGGCAATGATGATCCTCTGAACCATCACCAGGTAGGTAAGTAGGTAGGTAGCCAGGCAAGCAGACAGGTAGGTAGGTTAGATAGGTAGGTTGGTTGGTTAGGTAGGAAGGTTACCTGGAGGTTATTCCGGGGATCAACGCCCCCGCGGCCCGGTCCATGACCAGGCCTCCCGATGGATCAGGGCCTGATCAACTAGGCTGTTACTGCTGGCCGCACGCAGTCCAACGTACGAGCCACAGCCCGGCTGATCCGGCACTGACTTTAGGTATCTGTCCAGCTCTCTCTTGAAGGCAGCCAGGGGTTTATTGGCAATTCCCCTAATGCTTGATGGGAGGCTGTTGAACAGTCTTGGGCCCCGGATACTTATGGTGTTTTCTATTAGTGTACCAATGACGCCCCTACTTTTTATTGGGGGCATTTTGCATCGCCTGCCCAGTCTTTTACTTTCGTAGGGAGTGATTTCTGTGTGCAGATTTGGGACCATTCCCTCCAAGATTTTCCAAGTGTAGATTATGATATATCTCTCCCTCCAGCGTTCCAACGAGTACAAGTCAAGTGCTTCCAAGCGTTCCCAGTAGTTAAGGTGCTTGACAGAACTTATACGTGCAGTAAAGGATCTCTGTACACTCTCTAGATCTGCGATTTCACCTGCTTTGAATGGAGATGTTAATGTACAGCAGTATTCCAGCCTAGAGAGAACAAGTGATTTGAAAAGGATCATCACTGGCTTGGCATCTCTCGTTTTGAAAGTTCTCATTATCCATCCTATCATTTTCTTTGCACGTGCGATCGTGGCACTGTTGTGATCCTTGAAAGTGAGATCCTCAGACATTACTACTCCCAGGTCCTTTACATTATTTTTCCGTTCTATTGTATGGCCAGAGTTTGTAGTATACTTTGTTCTAGTTATTATCTCCTCCAGTTTTCCATAACGGAGTAGTTGGAATTTGTCCTCATTGAACATCATATTGTTTACCGTTGCCCACTGGAAAACTTTGTTTATATCTTCTTGGAGGTTAACCGCGACCTCAGCAGATGACAGCCTCATGCAGATCCTAGTATCATCCGCAAAGGATGATACGGTGCTGTGATGTATATCTCTGTCTATGTCTGATATGAGGATAAGGAATAAGATGGGGGCGAGTACTGTGCCTTGTGGAACAGAGCTCTTCACTATGGCAGCCTCCGATTTAACTCTGTTGACCACTACTCTTTGTGTTCGATTTGTTAGGAAGTTGAAGATCCATCTCCCCACTTTCACAGTTATTCCTTTAGCACGTATTTTATGGGCTATTACGCCATGATCGCATTTGTCAAATGCTTTTGCAAAGTCTGTGTATATTACATCTGCATTCTCATTTTCTTCCAGTGCATCCAAGGCCATGTCATAGTGATCCAGTAGTTGTGAGAGGCAGGAGCGACCTGCCCTGAACCCATGTTGCCCTGGATTGTGCAGATTTTGGGAATCCGGGATTTGCAATCCTGCTTCTTAGCACTCTTTCAAAGATTTTTATGATGTGGGACGTCAGCGCTATTGGTCTATAGTTCTTAGCTAATGCTTTGCTGCCACCTTTATGGAGTGGGGCTATATCCGTTGTTTTAAGTGACTGGAATTTCACCCATGTCCAAGCTCCTCCTCCATAGTGTACTTAGGGCACACGAGAGAGGTTTCTTGCAGTTCTTAATGAAAACAGAGTTTCACGAGTCTGGGCCCGGGGCTGAGTGCATGGGCATGTTGTCAAAGGCTTTTTCGAAATCTATCGGAGTTAGGGCAATGTCGGAAATCTGGCATACATTTATGGAGTTTTGAGGCTCATTCATGAAGAAATCATTTGGGTCGTCGATCCTCAGACCGATTAGTGGTTCACTAAACACGAAGTCGTACTGGGATTTCAATATTTCACTCATTTCCTTGTTGTCATCTGTGTAAGTCCCATCCTGTCTGAGTAAAGGCCCGATATTAGATGTGGTATTTGCCTTGTTTTTGGCATATGAAAAGAAATATTTTGAATTTCTTTCAATTTCACTAATAGCTTTAAGCGCCTCCTGCCTCTCCTGGTTCCTGTAAAGTCATTTAACTAAAGTTCGATAGTTTCCACTTCCCTGGTCAGCGCCTCCTTTCGTGTATCAGATATTCTAGCACTCCTGAGGAGCTCAGTGACTCTTCGTCGTCTTCTGTAGAGGGAGCGTCTTTCTCTCTCCAGTTTACTCCTGCTCTTCTTCTTTCTTAGGGTAATATGCCTAGAACATGCTTCGGCTGCCAGGAAGTTCATCCTTTCAAGGCAGGTAGGTTAGTTTAGCAGATAGGTAGCAAAATCACCCACTCACACTTACCTCACTCATCTACCAATCCAGCACCTAACGCACCCACCCAGCTTTTGATACTCACAGCACCTGATCCCCCGCCCAACCACCCAGCTTCTGGCACTCCCAGCACCTGATCCACCCACCCACCCAGCTTCTGACACTCCCAGCACCTGACCCCATCTAAAAACGGCACATCCATCCATCAACTGTCCCCACACAGTTTGACCCGCCCACCCACCCACAGGCTGACCCACCATCCACCCACAAGCTGACCCACCATCCACCCACAGGCTGACCCAGGGATTCCTACAGTCCCAGCCAATACTGAAAACAAGTTGGCGCCGCTCAGACAAAAAGTGTCGGCATGCCAGGGAAGGAGGGAGAGGGAGATGAAAGAAGAGAGGGTGGATAGAAGGAGGGAGATAGAGGGAGGGAAGGAGGGGAGGGCAGGACTGTGGAGGCGCTACTAAGTCAGCTGTAACAGCTGGTACCCGGGAGGACAAGAACCACCCCCGGCTACTACCACTATCTCTACTACTGCTCATACCACTACCACTGTCCACAGCACTACCACCACCACTACCACCGTACACAGCACTACTACCACCACTACTACTATCCACAGCATTACTACCGCCACTACCACTATTCACAGTATTACTACCACCACTACAACTATCCACAGCACTACTACCACCACTACCACTGTCCACAGCATTACTACCACCACTACCTGGAGGGCATTCCGGGGATCAATGCCCCCGCGGCCCGGGCTACGACCAGGCCTCCCGGTGGATCAGGGCCTGATCAACGAGGCTGTTACTGCTGGCCGCACGCAATCCAATGTACGAACCACAGCCCGGCTGATCCGGCACCGTCTTTAGGTATCTGTCCAGCTCCCTCTTGAAGACAACCAGGGGTCTACTGGTAACGCCGCTTATTGCTGGTGGGAGGCTGTTGAACCTCCCACCATAAGTGTCCGGGGCCCAAGACTGTTCAACAGCCTCTCATCAAGCATTAGGGGAATTGCCAATAAACCCCTGGCTGCCTTCAAGAGAGAGCTGGACAGATACCTAAAGTCAGTGCCGGATCAGCCGGGCTGTGGCTCGTACGTCGGACTGCGTGCGGCCAGCAGTAACAGCCTAGTTGATCAGGCCCTGATCCACGGGAGGCCTGGTCATGGACCGGGCCGCGGGGGCGTTGATCCCCGGAATAACCTCCAGGTAACCTCCAGGTAACATTGTTACAGCTTCATCACTAGCACCACCACAACCTTCACCAAAAATAATGGTGAATTGGATGCATCCTTCCCTTGCATCAAACCCGATTCCAATAATGTTGGTATAATTACCGACAATATGTTAGGTAAAATTAGATGTAAACAAAAGAGGAAAGTAATTTTAGTAAACAATGGAGGAAATATGTAAACAAAAGAGAGGAGAAAATATACACTAGATTACCGTACAAAAATCTGGAATTCATCAATCAAGACTGATGGACTGATTACATCGACTCCAAGCTAAGAGACTGATTACCTCAAACTCCTCCTGATCTTCACCATTATTCTTTGTACAGGACTGATGAAGCCACTGTGTGGCGAAACGTTTCTACAGTAATGATACCCAAGTGTTGGACATGTGTCTAAATTTATCAAATGTGAACATGACGGAATTACCACCAACACGTTAAACGTGGTTAAATAGGTAAGGGTGAAGCCTCAGGGCTGGGGGCTTCAAGAGTGTAAGGGCCTGGGGCACTACAAGAACCTCAGGGTTGGGACTTCAAGAACCTCAGGGCTGGAGCACTGCAAGAACCTCAGTACTGGGGGGTTTCAAGACCCTCAGGGCTAGGGACTGCAAGAACCTCTGGACTGAGGCTGAAAGAACCTCTGGGCTGAGACTGAAAGAACCTCTGGGCTGAGACTGAAAGAACCTCTGTGCTGAAGCGCTGCAAGAACCTCTGGGCTTGGGGGCTGCAAGAACCTCAGGGCTGGGGCTTCAAGAACCTCAGGGCTGGGGGGGGGCTGCAAGAACTTCTGGACTGGGGACCTGAAAGAACCTCCGGGCTGGGGGGCTCCAAGAACCTCAAGGCTGACTGGAGGGTACTCTAAGAGCAACACTCACCTGACAATGTTGGGATGCTCGAAGCGTTCCAGCTGCTTCAGAAGAGCGATCTCCCTGACGGCGTTGACAGGCACACCATCTTCGTTGAGGGTGATCCGGATCTTCTTCAGTGCCACTACCCGCTCCAGATTGTTCCGGTCGCGAGCGTAGTACACCGTCCCGTACGCACCTGTGCAACACACACACACACACGCATGGCGGTTAGCTAACGCAAGATATACGTACACTTGTACATACACAGGTATATAATAAGATCACAGTAAACAGGTGATATCACAATTCGCAAAAATAACCACTGAAAAAAATAGTAGAATTCCAAGAGCTTTCGCGATTTCCCACATTCATCAAGCGTTTGGAATTGCACTATTTTTCCACTGTGGTTATTTTGCATACACAAGTATAAACACAAACATATGTATCTCGTGACACAGATAGTTACACAGACATACCTAAGAATGGAGCACGGTATTAGGCTAAAACCTTGGATAGTTTCAAATTTAGGTTGGATAAATACATGAGTGAGAGGGGTTGGATTTGAGTGGGACTTGTACATGAGTAAACAGAATTATCAAAGCTTATTGCTTGGGTAGCACTGAAAACTGGGTTGGGCAAATATTCTGTCTGTGGGATGGATTGTAAAGGACCTGCCTAGTATGGGCCAACAGGCCTGCTACAGTGTTCCTCATTTCTTATGTAGTGGCCTCTTCAACCGGGGTACCTTGGTGCTAGTTAAGGACCTCTCATACTGGGAACTGGATGTATCCTTCCCTTGTATCAAACCTGATTACAATAATGTTGGTGTAATTACCGACAATATGTTAGGTAAAAGGACACAAGTGCAACTAATGTGACATTTTATTGTGGCAACGTTTCGCTCTCCAGGAGCTTTGTTAAGCTGCATGTTCTTTTACCTAACACACTTAATTACCTCCTATTCCTCAGGCGCTGTATGAACCTTACGTGTTTAGTGCTTAAGGCCCCTCGAGTGTAACAATACTGGCCTATGCTAAGCCCTCTGGTCGGGTCACCAACTGGTAAAGACCCGGGCTGGGACAACACTGGCCAACCACATCACTAGGCCCACTATTTAACACATTCTCACCACATATGTACGCATACTTACACATATCAATTACACATACAAACATACATTCAGAGTAAACCTACGTATATATACACACACTACACACATACAATATACACACACCAGGTAGACTCCAGGTACGTAAACACCAAACAAACTGACCATTGCCAATGATGCTGATCTCTTGATAGCTATCACTGTCCCTGGGAAGATCTGCCAAGGAACTGACGGAGGAGGAAGCTGCTGCTGCTGCGGCGGCGGCTGCTGCTGCAGCTGCTGCGGTTGCGGCTGCGGGGGGCTGCAGGGGTTCCTCTGCTGAGGGAGGGGGAGCACGAGAGCCTCCCGTCCTGCCTTCGTCAGTGCCCCCTGCACCGTTGCCAGAACTTGCCATGGTCATCACAGACGGCTGGAGAGGGGCGGATGCTGCAGGGAAAGATGCCGCCGGAGTGTGGGCGTGGGGGATGATGCTGAAAGTGATGGTGGTGGAGGGAAAGAGATAACAGAGTTATAAGGTAGGAAGAGACGATAAAAGTGGAACAGGGAAGAGAGGGAGAGAGGGAGAAAGAGGTGAAGGAAGGGGGTCAGCAGGAGCGGCGGCAGTTCATGACGAGGTGGAGCGTACTGCTGGTGTTGATAGTTAGCTCCCGGCCCTCACCCACCATCACTACGCACTCTTCACCTCACACGATGTCATCTTCAGCATCTGAAATATTAAGAGAGAACTATTATATATCTGCCACACCTGCCACTACAACACATGTACTGTTGTATATCTGCCACTACAACACAAGTAACATTGTTGTTCACTGACAGACACACACAAGTCAGGGGCAAACTGCAGATCTGGAAAACATTCAGAGAAAGTTCACTTCAAATATCAGTACAAACACCTAAATTATTGTGAGCACATACAGCCGCTTCTCATTTTAAAGACTAACACAAACGGGATAGAATATTATGATTTACATCTGATGTTTACCTGGAGTTTACCTGGAGAGAGTTCCGGGGGTCAACGCCCCCGCGGCCCGGTCTGTGACCAGGCCTCTGATGTGTTGAACAACTGCTACAAATTTGGGCATCGAAATAACACACTAGTTTTTCTATTGGCAGAGCCCGGCCTTGTGTCAGCTATTATATATATATATATATATATATTATATATATATATATATATATATATATATATATATATATATATATATATGTGTGTGTGTGTGTGTGTGTGTGTGTGTGTGTGTGTGTGTGTGTGTGTGTGTGTGTGTGTGTGTGTGTGTGTGTGTGTGTGTGTGTGTGTGTGTGTGTAACAAGCTCGCAATAAACAAGTGATATCACAATATGCAAAATATCCACTGTGAAATAAATATTGAACTTCCAAGCGCTTTCGTGATTTCTCACATTATCGAGGCCCTGTAAAAATAATAGAACAGAAGGCTTATAAAGCTGAGATGTCACCTTACCTACGATATTACACCCATCTCAATATGATGCGGGTGGGAAGTGTCCCCGGCCTGCGGGTCAACGCCCCCGCGGCCCGGTCCCAGACCAGGCCTCCTGATGGATCAAGGCTTGATCAGCCGGGCTGTTACTGCTGGTCACACGCACTCCAACATACGGACCAGGTTGCTTCATGTGCCCAGGAATTCACCAGATGCCAGATCACAGGCTGTGATGGATATGTGGGGCAGAGGGCCTCCAGCAGCAACAGCCTGATTGACCAGTCGAGCACTAGACGAGCCTGGCCCATGGCCGGGCTTAGAGAGTAGATATACTCTCGAAATTCTTCAAAGGTATATAAAGGAAGTCAAGTACCTTCAATGATAGCAGAGTACCTTGATGCTGTTCAAGGACTGACTCAAGAAACTGGAGTTTCCTTACTTCCTCGGATCAAACCTAATTACCTCCCAATAATAATAATAAAACGAGAGAGAAAATCAGCTGATCTATGTCAACAACACAGTGAAGGTGACTGAATTGGTACACGTAAATACGATTCCAGAGAGTCAGTCAGCTGATTTCACGGTGGTAATATGTTGTAGACGAGTCCAATGGATTAGCTGTTAGACGTAAACAAAGACAACGCGGAACACATTAGGCGAGAGAGAGAGAGAGAGAGGAGAGAGAGAGAGAGAGAGAGAGAGAGAGAGAGAGAGAGAGAAGAGAGAGAAGAGAGACAGAGAGAGAGAGAGAGAGAGAGAGAGAGAGACAGACGAGACAGAGAGACAGAGAGAGAGAGAGAGAGACAGAGAGAGAGAGAAGAGAGAGAGAGAGAGAGAGAGAGAGAGAGAGAGAGAGAGAGAGAGAGAGAGAGAGAGAGAGAGAGAGAGAGAGAGAGAGAGAGAGAGAGAGAGAGAGAGAGAGAGAGAGAGAGAGAGAGAGAGGAGAGAGAGAGAGAGAAGAGAGACAGAGAGAGAGAAGAAGACGAGAGAGAGAGAGAGAGAGACAGAGAGAGAGAGAAGAGACAGAGAGAAGAAGAGAGAGACAGAGGAGAGAGAGAGAGAGAGAGGAGAGAGAGAGAGAGAGAGAAGAAGAGAGAGAGAGAGAGAGACGACAGAGGAGAGAAGGCAGACAGACAGACAGAAAAAAAACAGAACAGAAGATGTAAAGACAGAAACGGGGAGGAGAGAGTAGAGGGCGAGAGGATGGGAGAGACAGAGGAGAGGAGAGAGAGGAGGAGACAGGGGAGGAACAGGCAGCACTCAGGTGTTCTCTAATATACGACTGTCACAGAACGAGGCACTTGGTAAAAACCGCACAGAACTAGGTGGCCCGGAGACAAATAAGCGGGAGAGGGTGGGAAGGAGGGAGGGAGAGGAGGAGAGAGGTGTGCGAGAAGGTGGCGTGAAGAGCAACAGTGTGAGTGTGTGGTAAGGGCGAGGCGTGGTCACAGCAACTTGTGGTTCCCCACTTGTAGTTCAATATAGCCATAGAGACCAGAACTTTAGACCAGATACAAATAAGCAGGATGGAGTGGCTGGGTGAAGGAGCCCCGGAGTAGGCGAGGGAGAGAGGACGAGCAGGTGGGCGTGAAGGCTACCAGGTGGGCGTGAGGGCGAGCAGTACAGCTAGGGATGAATGAGCGTCTTCGTGAATGAAGCTGTATGTTCCTTACATCACGTGAACGAAAGTAAACAATCCAGAATTTACGAAGAATAACGCTAGATGACTTTACCGGCGCACATATGGGGGATTACCAATAGACCCCTGGTTGTCTTCAAGAGGGCGCTGGACAGGCACCTAAAGTCAGTACCCAACCAGCCGGGCTGTGGTTCGTACGTCCGTTTACGTGCGGCCAACAGTAACAGCCGTAACCAGGCCTCACGGTGGATCAGGTCCTGATCCACCGTGAGGCCTGGCTACGGACCGGGCTGTGGGGGCGTTGATCTCCGAAACACTCTCCAGGTACTGTCCTCTAGGCAGCCTCACACCGTCCTCCAGGCAGCCTCACACCGTCCTCCAGCCAGAACGCGAGGACAGAACTGCAGTCAGGAAATGGCAAGCAGCACCACCCGTATATGGGTAGAAAAATGCAGGGGCCGCCCACACTGGTCACACGAAGACAAGGATGTACCACCAGCTAATAACAACAACAACAGCACCAGCTAACAACAGCAGGAGCGCCAGCTAACAACAGCAGCAGCACCAGCTGACAACAGCAGCAGCACCAGTTGACAACAGCAGCAGCACCAGTTAACAACAACAACAACAACACCAGCTAACAACAGCAGCAGCACCAGCTGACAACAGCAGCAGCACCAGCTGACAACAGCAGCAGCACCAGCTAACAACAACAACAACAACAACAGCACCAGCTACCAACAGCAGGAGCGCCAGCTAACAACAGCAGCAGCACCAGCTGACAACAGCAGCAGCACCAGCTGACAACAGCAGCAGCACCAGCTAACAGCAGCAGCAGCACCAGCTAACAACAACAACAACAGCACCAGCTACCAACAGCAGGAGCGCCAGCTAACAACAGCAGCAGCACCAGCTGACAACAGCAGCAGCACCAGCTGACAACAGCAGCAGCACCAGCTAACAGCAGCAGCAGCACCAGCTAACAACAACAACAGCACCAGCTACCAACAGCAGGAGCGCCAGCTAACAACAGCAGCACCACCGCGTTATATTAAATTGTTAAGGACAGCCTTCAGAACGAGAACATGAAAATCTTTCAAGACGTAAGACTAATCCTCGGGATTATCAATAAATCCACCTACAACTACTGGTGCCAATAACAAAATCCCCACAACAAACACAGAATACAACCTCGTTCATATTTGCTAATATACAGGGCCTTAAGCCATCCACCAACAAAATACCTTTTATCAGTGGACTTCTAGTGGAGTCTAATGCAATGTTTGCAGCCTTCAGAGACTCACACAAAAGATCACTTTGACAGTGAAATATGGATAAGTGGTTACAACCTTTTTAGATGCGACAGAAAAAACAGGCAACAAGGGGGGGGGGGTGGCCTGTATGTCAAAGACTCCCTTATCTGCACGGAGTTGCTAAACACCACAAATGAGGTAGTTGAAGTTCTATCCAATAAAGATCGAGAACCAAAACCTAGTCATTGTGGTTGTATACAAGCCACCAGATGCAACCTCACAACAGTTCAAGGAACAGCTACTGAAAATCGATTACTGTTTGGAAAACCTTCCAACTCCATCCCCAAACATCTTACTGGTTGGTGATTTCAACCTAAGGCATACAAAATGGAAGAATGTAGCAAATAATGTTATAGCTGAAACAATCCCCGGAGGTAGCACAGATGAAAGGTCACACACACATGAGCTACTAAGTCTCTGCGAAAAACACACCTTAAGCCAGCAGATAGTGGAGCCAACAAGACTAGATAACACACTTGACCTTATCTTCACAAATAATGAGGACCTGATAAGAGACATAAGAATATCAAAAACAACTAATTCTGATCACAATCTAATCGAAGTCCAGACGTACATGCATAGGGGTCCTGAACAGCAGAATGCATGTACCTGTGAAGGTGTCTTCACAAAATACAATTTCAACAACAAGAACATCAACTGGGACCAGGTAAACCATGTCCTAAACGAAACATGTTGGGAAGATGTCTTAAATGACATGGATCCAAACCAGTGCCTTGAAAGGATCAACTTCCTGGTAGCCGAAGCATGTTCTAGGCATATTCCCCTAAGAAAGAAGAAGAGCAGGAGTAAACTGGAGAGAAAAAGACGCTCCCTCTACAGAAGACGACGAAGAGTCACTGAGCTCCTCAGGAGTGCTAGAATATCTGATACACGAAAGGAGGCGCTGACCAGGGAAGTGGAAACTATCGAACTTAAGCTAAATGACTCTTACAGGAACCAGGAGAGGCAGGAGGAGCTTAAAGCTATTAGTGAAATTGAAAGAAATTCAAAATATTTCTTTTCATGTGCCAAAAACAAGGCAAATACCACATCTAGTATCGGGCCCTTACTCAGACAGGATGGGACTTACACAGATGACAACAAGGAAATGAGTGAAATATTGAAATCCCAGTACGACTCTGTGTTTAGTGAACCACTAATCGGTCTGAGGATCGACGACCCAAATGATTTCTTCATGAATGAGCCTCAAAACTCCATAAATGTATGCCAGATTTCCGACATTACCCTAACTCCGATAGATTTCGAAAAAGCCATTGACAACATGCCTATGCACTCAGCCCCGGGCCCAGAATCG